TAAACCTCAATAGCTTTTAACAAAAATAACATTGTTAAGCTCAGAATTTCAGTTCATTGTAATAAACCTACATGAACACTTTAAAGTTGGTTTTGTGATTTTAAATGGTTCTCCTACGAGGTTTAAATGACATGATGCATGCCATAAAATACAGAAACGCACCATAAATGGTGCAGACCACAATAGAAATGTGTCGAGAAACCTCAAAAATTGACAAATCCAGCTACGTCATTAGTCATCAGTACTGAAGGAGATCTTAGAGGTGCTGACTCTAAAACAGAAACCAGTTGTATTCACTTTTGCATGTGAGCAATTTCAGCGTTATGGATGTGACATTTGCAGTAAAACCTTAACATAAATTCACAGAGGAAGTACAGTATATGTTAACATTATATTGAAACATCTATTTATGTTTTCCAAAACAACTAAACTCAGAGTTATTGAATCAGAAAAATTAATAATCTATACATTTTTTAATATGTTAAATGAGGAAAACAAACATGTGTTAGGGATGTGACCAAAAGTCAGCGAGTTTGCTGTATATAACATAATATGTAGAAATTCTGTGAATTAAACTGCACAAGCCAGAAAAATAATGCCAAGCAAAAGGATACGAGTCGGCTCACTATAGAACCAACATGATTGATTTATGTTATTTAACAGTTTTGCATTTATGAGGAAAAATATCCATTATGTATGTGAGACCTCTCTGTTACGGTCGTGACAGATGTGAAATTGCCACTTGTGTGATATATAATAGTTTGAAAGCACTGACAGATACATTTGAGCATTTTTGAAGTACTGTCAAATACTTGTTTTGCACAAAAAAAGTAGAAACGGTTTCACTGTTTCACTAAAACTACACTTTTTTTTATGGCAAGGTTGACATTTACATGGAATTGCTCTTATACCAACCCACTTGCATTGTGGTCAGGATGTCAAAGAAAGGTAAACAAAAACCAAAGGTAATCAAAGATCGTGAAAAAAATGATTTGATAACTATTAATCTGGGCCTTTTCAGCCTAAACCCAGATGGACACTTGTGTTACTTAAAATCAAAAGCTTTCATTAATTTTAAATTTCTAGTTGCTGTTGACTACACAATGTGGATTCTTCTAGCTGGGTTCGTGGTTTTGGTGTGTGCTGCAGGTAAAGTGCTGAATATGTCAAATAAAACTAAATAATGACTGTTAATCTTGTTATTTAAAAGCAAGAGTCATGTGTTTAGCACTAAACATCATGCAAGTATGCAATATTATGTTTGTTTTTTGTCTTAGTTAAAGCAGTGTTTATTAATTGAGTATAAACTCACTGTTTTGGAAAGATGTATCATGTCAAAGGTATATTTCTGCCTTTTTACATAGATCACTACAGTACAGTTCACTTCTTTTTCAGTGTATTACGTGTATCTCTTTTATACCGGTGTGCTGTCTTTGCCTCATTCTGATATAGAGGAGCCGTTTGAAGCTTGGTACGATCTTGATGGGAACAGAAGTCGCATTGACTATCGTAATAGCACAGTGCGCACCTTTTAGATTGGAAATGACTTGGTGCCATTTACAAGATTACACCAGTCCTTCCTCCCAGTGATATTAAGTGTTTCAAGCTTAAAGGAACTAAAGATGATCCAATAGAGCTGCAGGAAGCAATCCCTGATGCACAGAGCTTTGAAGTGTGTAGTACTTTACAGGGGCGTTGCTAGGGTCGAAAGGGATAAGGGGCTTAGCCCCAAAGAACCCCCCTGTTTTTTGAAAATGTAATTTTCTGCATGTTTTCAAATCTGAAAATATGATTTATTTTTATAGTGTGTTGTTATCTAATGTGATACAAAGCTACAAACATGTTCATTTGGACAGAGTGATTAACTGAGGTGTAGTGTTGTCAAAATAATGGAATTTCTAAATTCAATACCTTGCAAAATATCGATATTCAATAGGCTACTATTTTTTACATAATAACAATTCTATCAAAAATAGTAGGCTAGCTAAGGCTACAAAAAATAAAAATAAAGATCTATATGCTAGAAATATGTTTACTTTAAATTTCTTCAGAGGGATTTTTTTTTTTCAGTTTTCCTCAAAATAGGGTGATGTGGGCATTGTAGCACTTTAAATGCATGTAATGCCTGTTTTATTCATACTTGAGCAGAAATTCCATATATATTCTTCACAAAAGTAGTAGAACATTCTAGGAAATCCCTAATATGGATGAAGGCATCCAGCTGTTGCTGTAGTAGAATAAAAATACGATCTGAATAAAAATAAAAAGGCTTTAACTGATCATTTACACGACTGCAACAATAAATGTTTTATCAGAAGTCAGAATTATTAGCCCTCCTTTGAATTTTATTTGAATTTGAATTTTATTTTCTTTTTTAAATATTTCCCAAATGATGTTTAACAGAGCAAGGAAATTTTCACAGTAGCCTATGTCTGATAATATTTTCCTTTTGAAGAAAGTCTTATTTGTTTTATTTAAGCTAGAATAAAAGCAGTTTTATATTTAAAAAAAACATTTTAGGGTCAAAATTATTAGCCCCTTTAAGATTTTATATATTTTTCCTATAGTCTACAGAACAAACCATCGTTATACAATAACTTGCCTTATTACCCTAACCTGCCTTTAAAGCCTTTAAATGTCACTTTAAGCTGTATAGAGGTGTCTTAAACAACGTCTAGTCAAATATTATTTACTGTCATCATGGCAAAGATAAAATAAATCAGTTATTAGAGTTGAGTTATTAAAACTATTATGATTATAAATGTGCTGAAAACAATATTCTCTCCGTTAAACAGAATTTGGGGGAAAAAATAAACGGGGGCTAATAATTCAGACTTCAACTGTGTGTTCTTCCAACCATTTTAGGTATTTTCATAAGAAAGTCGATTTATAATTTGATTCAAACTGACATAGCATGTTACAGTAAAATATAGTTATTTAATAATAAGCTAGATGCATAAACTCACTGTGATTTAACTATTACAGAAACAGATGTGACTTGCTATATCATATAAATATATCATATCTAGAAAGCTAGTACAATTTACGTTTTTTTTTACTTGTATTTACATTGATATGATGCACATTTTACTGATTATAGTTATTTTATGTCACCAAAACTACACACATTTTATACTGTGTAAACAAGCTTCATCAGTAGTTAAAACTATTCAGTTTCGCGAAAGAGTTGTATTATTACCTCATTAGCTTCAGCTCCTCAAAATAATAAATGAATGATGTGCAGTGGCGGGATTTTTTTTAACACCATGTGACAACAGAGCCACTCCCACCTGCCGGTAGAAACAGGTACTGCTGAACAGCTGACGGTTTAATTACCTGACACAAACGCTGCGTTAAGTGGAATGTTCGTGATGTATGTGGTAATTTTTAGTACTTACATAACAAAATAAATGTTATACAACATATTTTATTTAAGTGCAACATATTCCAAGAGATCAGGGGCTTTTGACAATACATCAGGGGCTTAAGCCCCCAAAGCCCCCCCCCTCGCAACGCCCCTGGTACTTTAATTTATTTTCTTCATGAAGTATTTGTTTACAATGCGATTTAATATGTAGGCCCACACCAAGTCATTTAATCATTTTATTTAATTGTGTAAAATTAAATATATATTTATTCAGTTTTATATGAATTTCACTAACCTGGATATTTTTGTAAGTGTTTAGATGATATATCTACAAAACAATTTGTAAAGTAATATTTTTATGTCATTTTGTACAACGGTTCCCAACCTTTTTTGCCTGAGACCCACTTTTCCCCTAGAAACAATTATAAGCCCCCTCCCCACATTTAATGATATCACTGCTAATATAAGTTTAAGTAAGGATGACAAAACATTTAGTTTTCATACAAACTGTATGTTTATTACTATATCTAGATATGTTCGTGCACAAATAATAGGCTAAAGTAAAATATATAAACAAAACATCAGTAGGCTATTTGTAACTAAAAAACGTAAACCTTTGGAGATTTGACACTAACTAACCATGATCTCCCAATCATATGATTCCCCATTTACTATAAATAACCACAGTTTTCAGTCCACATTTATCTTTGTATGAAAGAAACCCCCCTTTTCCTCCGCCTTCTCCTTCTTTTCATAGATCGGGCAGCACGGCGGCCCAGTGATTAGCACTGTTGCCCCAGAGCAAGAACACTGCCAGCCCTGGTCCTCGCCAGGCTGGTGGGTGTTTCTGTGCAGAGTTTGTATATTCTCCCCATGTCCTCGTGGGTTTCCCGCATGTCCTCCAGTTTCAGATTAAGCCAGGGATGTCCTGACTCGGTCCTGGAGGGCATGTGTCCTGCAAAGTCATGCAGGTGTGTTGAAGAAAGTTGGAGCTAAAATCGAGTTTGGACACCCCTGGATTAAGCAATTCAGGCACTCGTCTAACTCCCTTCCTCCTCAACTGTTTCCTTAGCTACCACAGCCAGGGAGTTTGAGATCAACCTAAGCTCAAGCTCCCCTTTTGCTCAATGAATGGGAGGGAGCCCTGGGCTTGAGGATCCCTTGAGCTCAGGGCTCTCTCCTGGGTTAGCGTGCCAAACAAGCTCATATTAAATCATCAGCTAAGTGTGAACTCTTGAAAGGTAAATGAAGATGTAGGTCAGAGGTTCTTCATCTCGGTCCTGGAGGTCCGGTGCCTTGCAGATTTTTGCTCCAACCCCAATCAGACACACCTGGACTAACTAATCAAGCTCTTAGGCTTTCTAGAAACATCCTTGCAGGTGTGGTAAAGCAAGTCAAAGCTAAACTCTTTAGGACCTCGGACCTCCAGGACAGAGTTTGAGAATGCCTGGTGTAGGTTATACAGTGGGTTGTTAATTGTAGAGATCCTCTAATTAAAAATAATAAGAAAAAAAAACCTTGAAATTTCTGAAAGAGCCTCAGCCAGATCAGAAAAACAAACAGAAAAGTAACTCAAATGTAACGTAACACTACTTTTTTGTGGAGTACATAATGTAATGCATTACTTTCAAAAGTAACTTTCCACAACACTGTTTCTAATTGATTTTGCATTCTAAACACTTAATGAAAGCTATGTTTGTTTTTTCGTGTCCACCTTGAGCTCATAAACTCTCAAAAACCATTCAGAATAAATAAAAAAAAAAATTATGAAATATGGGCAGAAATAGTAAAAAAGAGGCTGTCTGAACCCGTTTTATGTTATAGACAATAGGACGAATTTAAATAAAGAATAAACTGAATGATCTGCAAATGTGTATAAAATCTTTGTCTGTTTTGCAGTTTGAGAAAATGGAGGATTGCAAAGGCGTTCAGTGTGAGGTCTGGAAAAATGTCAAAGAGGCTGGCCATAAGAAGAATACATACCGTCTGTGGGTCACACGTGGAGAGGCAGCTTATTCTCCAGTCACACCACAACGCTTTGAGATAGAGGGCTTCAACTCTCTTCTGGGATCCCACAATGACAAATACAGCATTGAGTACAGCGACTTCAGCTCACAAACTGAGCCTGATATTTTCACTCCACCTGCAGGTAACATGGAGAAAACACACAATCAAAGAAATGCTTTTTTCTGCCTCTGATTACAGCTCATCCTATTAAATGTTGACTAAGGTGTTGTGTATTTAGGATTTACCTGTGAAGAGTTTCCTGAGGAGCGACAAATATTAGCCAATCCCTTTCAAGACTATGTCAACACCCACCCTGTTAGCCACACCCACCTGATGTTAGGCCCCTTTAAGGAGAAGTTTAATCGACAGAATGAAAGTGAAAAGGAGCACGAGAAACGCGAGAACCTCTTTCTGCATACTTTCAGGTGATGAATAACAGCTAACATCACATTGAAGAAAAATAGAAATATCTGAACTTGTCTGTTTTTTTTATGTTTTTTCCTTCCTTTTCAGTTTTGTGCACTCCAACAACAGAGCTGGTCTTACATACAGTGTTGGTATCAATCACTTCGCAGACAAGAAAGAGTTGACCAGGATGACAGGAGGTTTACTTCCTAAAAAGAAAAAGGAGGATGCAAAAAAGTCCACAGAATAGTACAACTGACAAAATAGTGGCAAACAAATAATTAGTTTAATAAATGTCTGTCAACAGACCTACACAGTTATCTAATGAGAATTGCGGTAATTTAATCTTTTCTAACCATATAACTTGATTAAATTGATTCTGTATCTTCAAGCTTATTTGGCAAACAAATATGATTTTCAAACCCAACTGTACATAAATTCTGATTAAACTATATATGGAAACCACATGTTTTTTCCCAATAAACAAATAGTTTTTTTGCTCATTTTTGTCACCTTACATTTTTTCTGTGTCGTTTAATGTTTCAAAAATAATTTCCTAAATCTCATTTCCCTACATTTCACTGGTAAGAAATTAAACCTGTTTCGATTTCTGCTGCTACATTCAGACGGTAGGGTCAGAATTTGGTGTCAACAACATGAAAGCATGGATTCATCCTGCCTTGTATCAGCGCTTCAGGCTGGTGGTGGTGGTGTAATGGTGTGGGGGATATTGTCCTGGCACCACAGTGTACCCATCTTCTGATGGCTACTTCCAGGAGGATAATGCACCATGTCATAAAGTGTGAATCATCTCAGACTGGTTTCTTGAACATGACAATGAGTTCACTGTACTCAAATGGCCTCCAAAGTCACCAGTTCTCAATTCAATAGAACACCTTTGGGATGTGGTGAAACTGGAGACTTGCATCAGTGATGTGCAGCCAATGCATAGCGGGATGCTATAGTATTAATATAAGAATTATTGTTGATCTAGTTTTAGATCATGGAGGTGTATGTAGTCAAACCTGTTTGACAAAATCTTTTCAAAGTGATTCATAATCAACTCAAATGAATTGCGGCGCCGCGCGAACTGTTCGCTTGAGTCTCAAAAAATTTTGTGCGCTCCGCCAGCTGAAATCATGAAATATTTAAGACCTAGAACAGCAAATTCAAGACTTTATTTTAATTTCATTTAATTTAGATTTTTAAATTTTAGACTTTAAGACCCCGCGGAAACCCTAACAGAGAATGATCTTAAAGTGGTGGTCTGAAAAATTAAACAAGAATAGACTTGTGCTGCAAACGATGTGCTGACCAGTCTCATTAGGTGAGGTTCATTTTAAATTAAATAAACTATAAACAAATTATATAGTTTTTAGATTACACTTTTTATTGTGTGCGTTGTGAATGATTGTTTATATAGGCATATTGGGGTGTGTGTAAGACCTTGCATTCAACATTTGTTTCTAACCGCCCCTAAAAAATAGTGGGGGTTGTGAGTCATTAGCTATCTTTCCATCCAAAATGTAAACGATCTGGATTATCACATAAAAGACATAAAAATGAAACAGCGTTTCCATCCAATGAGTCAAAGCGAACAAAATAGTCACTTCCTGATAAAGTGGCGCCAAATATCAACAATAAAAACAGAATTTGCTGCAGTAGGAGAAGCTGTTTTAATCTTTTCTTCTTCTAATAAATTACTTACGCCTCAGAAGGCAATCCTGACACGCAGTGAACGCACGGTGGTGTTTGAAGGTGTCAGACGCGGAGCACAGACGCTCTTGATTCTGGAGGTCATTAATAATATAATAACACTAATACTGAAATGGTGAAGGTGTTTTAGAATGGTGTAACAGTGTGCACAGCCTGCTGGTTTGATCATTTACACACATTTTTATCACCACATGATCTCTTTTAACAAAATCACATGACCTTTTTTAATGCACATACTGAAATTTGTGCGGTAAAAATGTTTCCATCGTAGTTTATGCACATTTTTATAGAATAAAAAGTTTATCCTACTCGGTTATGCACATGTTTATGCGTATTTTCAAAATTTATGCACATCATGGCGTTTCCATCAACCGGTTTATGCGCATATCCAAAATGTGCATAAAAATAGGTGGATGGAAACAGCTATTGGCATTATTTTAGTGGCCGTGGGCTGAAAAGTTTGGGAACCCCTGAGCTAGTGTGCTCCAACGAGTAACAAATTATATCTATAAAACTGATAGAAACATTAAACACTAGCAGTTTGTTACTTCCACCAAAACTGTTTAAAGACTTTTTTTCACATCAATTCATACTGGTTTCTCATCAAATCTTGACCAATCATATATTCTCTAGCATTACATTTCCCACCCCCTTTTAAATCACCTCTCATTTGATGCACTTGAGCTCAACCAGTTAAGTAGCAGAAAATCATTCACAAAGTGCAAGATGACTACCTGAAATGCTTGTTACGTTTACTTATGTGAGACAGTGATATGGTTTTACCTGATTATTTGAGATGTAACTGGCACCAAACATCTCCAAAAGTCTGTGATGGAAACTGTATAATGTTATAAAACATTATAAATATTAAAAATTTTATTTTAATCAAATAAACACTCTGCTAAATGTTTCAAGCTGTGGGAAAAGGAAGATGCAATATGCCAGACCCAGCAATAATAAAGGCCACTGTCAGAACACCCTGGGCTCTCATTACACGCGAGCAGTGCCACAGATATACAAGTCTCCCTTCTTGAATGGAATTAGTAAAATAGATCGACTTCCTGAAGATATTCTAATTATATGACCAGCACCTTTACATAGTATGCAAGTTTGACACCTGGTGGTTTAACTAGGTATAGGTTACAAGATTGACGATATCCCCACATTAAAAGGTGAGAGATTTTGCCCTGACCAACCTGAAATCTCTATTTTAGAAACTGCTTCTATTTCTAACAGCTAAACAACAGGGTAAACGATGACAACGATCACCTCAGGTATAGCTCATGTGCTTTATTTACTGTTAAATGCTAATAATGTGAGCTTGAATGTCATTTTTACGTGACAGCGCATGTAGAGGCATGAAAACGGCTAAGCTGAACAGATTGAAAAGACATTCCTTCATCTGTGTGGCTGAGGAGTTTGACGGCCTCTCCAACTGTGTTGAGAAAATTTCCATTCACTGCCCGGTAGTGGAGAAGGACATCTCTATCGGACTCATTGCAGTCTGGTCCTGCTGCTCTGGAATTGATCCGCCAGAGTGCTGATCTTGATCTCTGAGCCTCCATCTCTACAGACTGATGGCTCCAGCTGAACCCACTGATCTGATTCAACAATGTCAACCCAAGACTGACACACAGAGAGCAGATGAAGGTTTTGTCCAGATGGTTTAGATACTGATTTTCCGCCTAAAAAATAAAATAAAAAAAGTGATGTGATAGTAAATGGATTAAAAAAAAAGAAGAAAAAAAGATATCTTCACCCTTTCAACTTTTCTAAAGCTTTTAATTTGAAGTCAATGCCAGAAAAAAATATACCATAAATAGGAAACACCTTTCTTGTGTAAGGCTATGGGCTCTACTTTAAAAGGTGCAGTATGCAAGTTTGACATCCAGTGGTTGATCTAGGTTTTGCACTAGGCTTGGCCAGTAATATGTTATACGGCGGGATCTAAAAATAGCAACGTTGTCAGTTTCAATACTGTTATACCATCATAAAATGCAATGCACTTAAATAGGGGACAAGTATTAAATAACAAATATTATTTATTTAATGCCTACAAATGCGTATGCATGATTGTCATGATGAGACAGTGTGGAAAGAGACAGTGAGGTAAGGAGAGTCGTGCAACAAATGACCTGACATTTGGCAGTATTTCTGACGGAGTCAGAGCACACATTATTTCTCAACTGAACAAGAACTAAGACCAGGTAAACACGAACTGGAGGTCTGCATTCCTGATGCTGCAGCGCGGGAGCCGACCAGATTTCTTGCGGTGCAGGAATAAATTTCTGAATAAAGCATGGGAGCGGTCGGTAGCTATAGTCTAAATTGAAAGGGAGCCGCCCTGAGGTCTAAAAATATCGCTCCCAAGTGAGTGAGCATGCATGGATGCTGTTTGTTTGTGTGTGTGTGTGTCAATTAAGAGCACATCAGCGTTCAGATTAATCAGTAGTTTTTTCACAAACCATCGTGATGACGTGACATTTACGTTTTAGACACCGTTTCTATTTCTGCAACACATGATTAGCTTACGTCGCATGTTTTGCGTGCACTTCACATTTTCGATTTTTTTCGTGACATTTAGACTTTAGACACCGTTTCTATTTCTGCGACACATGATTAGCTTGCGTCGCATGTTTTGGTGCACACTTCACATTTTCGATTTTTTTCGTGACATTTCTATTTTAGACACCGTTTCTATTTTTGCGACACATGTTTAGCTTGCGCCACATGTTTTGCGAAGGCACGGTGTAAGGCACTTGACCAGCCAGTGCACACAGCTGCCTCCTGACCAATTAGAGCACCCCAGGCCAACCGGTCGATCAAGAGAGCACATCAGCTTTCAGATTAATCAGCGCACGTACGGCCCATGAAGAGCACATCAGCTTTCAGATTAAAAAGCGCACGTACGGCCACCTGACCAACCAGAGGACCCAGGGTCCAACTGACCAGTCAGAGCACACAAGGCAACCTGACCGATCATAGCACCCTAGCTTTGTGACATTTCTATTTTACACACCATTTTTAATTTTGCGACACATGTTTAGCTTGTGTCGCATGTTTTGCATGCACACTTCACATTTTCAATTTTTTTCGTGACATTTCTATTTTAGACACCGTTTTTATTTTTGCGACACATGTTTAGCTTGTGTCGCATGTTTAGCGTGCACTTCGAATTTTCGATTTTTTTCGTGCCATTTAGATTTTAGACACCGTTTCTATTTCTGCGACACATGATTAGCTTGTGTCGCATGTTTTTGTGCACACTTCACATTTTCGATTTTTTTCGTGACATTTCTATTTTACACACCGTTTCTATTTTTGCGACACATGTTTAGCTCATGTCGCATGTTTTGCGTGCACTTCACATATTTAATTTTTTTCGTGACATTTCTATTTTAGACACCGTTTCTATTTTTGCGACACATGTTTAGCTTGTGTTGCATGTTTTGCGTGCACTTCGAATTTTCGATTTTTTCCATGACATTTAGATATTACACACCGTTTCTATTTCTGCGACACATGATTAGCTTGCGTCGCATGTTTTTGTGCACACTTCACATTTTCGATTTTTTTCGTGACATTTCTATTTTAGACACCGTTTCTATTTTTGCGACACATGTTTAGCTTGCGTCGCATGTTTTGCGAAGGCACGGTGTAAGGCGCTTGACCAGCCAGTGCACACAGCTGCCTCCTGACCAATCAGAGCACCCCAGGCCAACCGGTCGATCAAGAGAGCACATCAGCTTTCAGATTAATCAGCGCACGTACGGCCCATGAAGAGCACATCAGCTTTCAGATTAATAAGCGCACGTACGGCCACCTGACCAACCAGAGGACCCAGGGTCCAACTGACCAGTCAGAGCACACAAGGCAACCTGACCGATCATAGCACCCTAGCTTTGTGACATTTCTATTTTACACACCGTTTCTATTTTTGCGACACATGT